AAGAAGGGCAGAAAGGGTCGGACGTGTCGGGAGCCTCATTTTTGCCATGTTGAGGGAATCTTCGTGGACCTGGGGAAAGGGCAGCTCGATGGCCGGCGCGTACACTTGGAACAGCCAGGAGTGAGAGAGACTATCAAACTTTATTTAAAATATGACCCTTGTTTAATATATATAGTCAGAAGATGTTCGTTTCTCCATCCCCTTGGCGACATAGCTTAAAACATGGGTCGTGTTAAGATCAAACCGAATTTACAAATAAGTCCCAAAAAGTAAGTAACAATTGCTCAACATCAAGCTAGAAGAAAATAGCTATGTACTATATAGATCATTATATTATATATCTATATATATAGATGCTATATGATGCTATATATTTTTCAAGTACATGGTGATCATAGAACAACGCCTTTCAGCTCACGTCCTGAGTCCTGATTTAAGATATTATCATTTGAAGCATAGCATCATTGACCAAACTGTGGCACACAATGACGAACACATGTTCTTGCACATGAGTCCGCAACGGCCCTTTGTTCACAGTTAAATGACATGGATAGATGCCAGGTTCGTCGAATGATAGGGTCCAGGTTCGCCCCGAACGAACCCTCGTACACAAAGATAAGCAACTTCCTGCAGATTCCGAAGACAGAGCAATGAACAAACCAATGACAAACACATACAAATGATTTTGGGTGATTGCCTTGCTTTTTGAGGTGGTGCTTATTTACTGTAGTTTTGATTTCATTTGTTCATATTATATTCAACAAAAGTTCAAATTAACTTTCTGTGGAAAAGAAATATATATATATATACATGTCATTTACACTGAGTCTAATATATACGGACATTCGAAGGCAACATCTAGTGCCAAAGCCTAACACAAGGAATCAACACAATGTGAAGCACATTTACATGTGAAGCCTTACCCAAAAGTGCTGCAACAATCTCTCGACGCGCCTACTATCCTGATATAGCGATCCTGTCAGGTCATGCTTCCATGGCTGCTTCAACAGCTTGAACAGTTTTACTGTATCCTGATAGAGGCAGCAAACTTCTTGAATCGGTCTTATCAGATGAACAGATCATTCAAACATATGTTTTCCTGTGCTTACAAAAGTATGAATGTGGCCTTCGGCATAGAAGTCCACCGACGCGATGATAATGCCAAATTCAGACTCCTGATCAGAAGCATAATTTGAATATGGCACGGCATCTTGCTTTTTTCCATGGTTTATTGGTGTTGCTCTTGAGGTTTGTCATTCATTTTAATATTTGTTGTGTTCTTTTCAGCCTGAATGAAACCAAAGCCAACATTGAAAAGACTTCCTGCCTTCAGGTGCGCTTGTTTAATGTTTGTTAGTTTGGTATTGTATTTTAATATAGCTTGGACTTGCTTAGAGTGGCGTTTCTTATTGTTTCCCCTGTGGGTGAATTCTGGTGACTATGATTGGCTTATTCCCATTTGCCGGTCCCAAAAAGTCTGAACCCCCCCAAGTTTAGGCTCCATTCATGTGATCTCGGTCCTCTCGGCTAGTCTTCCATTCACCTACTCCCTCCCTCTCCCCTTCTCCCTGTACCTCAGATAGAAACGGCCTCGAGGGGCGAGGCTTGCTCCGCGGCTTGGAGCACCCCAGCGAAATCCAGTCCCAACCAGAAACAGGTTGTTCCGAGTGAGATCCTTTACCTATAGGAAGTGACTGGGACTGGGGAAACGTCCATTTGTTTCTGGTTCGGACTGGATGGCCAGGCAGTTGTATGAAATTCACGGCTGCATTTGACTCCGTTTTCGTTGATGCAGTGAACTAGTTCACCCCATCACTCGCGCTGGCACTGAGCATTTCAAGAGGCCCAGGTCCATGGAGCCTTCGGTTTTTAGGCGCAGTTTTCGCCGCATTGAGAGGGCTCAAAACTTGCGACGCTCTCACGGCGTACGGTTTCAAGGAGGCTTGGGCACACTTCTTTTCCCTCACGCTCGGCCGATCAGATCTGGACGGACTGTTTTAAGGGCCAAGGTGGACTGTGCTGTCATGTATTAGAATGAATGACCAGGGGCCCCAGAAACCATCCAAAACCTGGTTTTCCCCAGCAGAAAACATGGTTTTTTGTATATGAAAACCTCTATTTTTGATGGTTTGCTTCGGGCCCCTGGAAATATCTATAGAGTTGCTTTGACATGTTTGACCCCTGTAATTCCTGAGCGACTTTTCTAACCTACTGTTGTAGTAAAAGTGAAGCTTTCAGCCGGGAGTCTAACGACCAAGGATGTTTTTCCAGTGGTTCACCATCAAGTCAATATATTATTTTGGGGAGTGTTCCGTGGGGATGAACTTGTTCCGTGGGGATGAACATGTTTCCCTCTAAATGCACCATTATGTAACTACATGTAACTGCCCCTTTTCCGCTCACTTCCATGTGCATTTTGTGGATGCCCTACACATTTGCCATCACCAAGGCTAGGGATGGCACTCTCTCACGGTTCATGATATTGGAGGTTTGGATTGATTTGGATTGATTTTGCTGCCAGTTCGTGCCGAGCGTGTCAGAGCATGTCGTGCCCAAACCGGTTTCAAGGCTTGAACTTCAGATGCGGGGAAATCTCAGATGGAGGCCATCGCTTCTAGGTTGGAGGCCATCGCTATTTGGTTCCTCAGTTGGGGGAAAAATCTAGGGACTTAAGGCGTGCAAAACCGTCAGAGATTGACGATCCAGAGGCGCATGGAAAGCAAATTGGAGACTGGGAGGCTCCTAGGATAGGGTGGCATGATGGGTCATCTTGAATACGGCAGATGCGCGTTGTTGAAGAAGACAATGTGCCAGAGCCCCACCTTTCGATTTTAAGGGTGTTTTATTAATAGCTCAATTAGAGGTTAAGGAGTGTCCATTAACCACCCCTTAGGGGCGGTATGACACTCTACCTTCCAGTCCCATGTTTGGCTATCACATGCTATCACCGCGCATCACATGACACTCCCAACCCAGGAAGTTCCTGGATCACCTTTTCACCTTTTTGAGGGGAGAAGTGCCCCCCACGATAAGAACAGTGGAGAGTGATCTCAGTTCACCCGTCCAGTCTCCAGGACATGTCCGCGTCAGTCCATCCAATCCTGGCCTTTTCATCGACTCTCCGTCTGGGCGTTGTCGCGGTCTCGGGGCCAAAGCTCCGCTCCCGGCTCCGACGGCCCGGTCGTCCCGGGCGCGACGACCGGTGAACTTTGGGCCGTCGAGAGCTGGACGTGAATTCGATGAAGCCAATCAGCAGTCACCGAAATCTGCGGAAAACGAGCACCGAACACCCGCAGCTGGCTGGAATGGCCATCCGACCGTGGTCACCCTCACCTGTGGGGTACGTCCCGGAGATCGTTTTGCATGTCTTTTCAGAGACCGGGAGGCGGGAGAAGAGGTATAAAGAGGTGTTTTTGTGGCAAGTCCAGATAACGTGTCAATGTCCCTACAGGTCTTACCGACCTCATGTCCCTACAGGGGTGCTGGAAATGCACTCAATTTTCGGTCGGTCAGAGCAAGTTTAACTTAAGGTCCAATTGGACTGGTAGGAGATGTAGGGAGTGGTTCATCAAATTGCTGCTTCAGAACCCTTTAGGTGCCAAAGGTGCTCTTTAGGTGTTCTTCAGACAGTGCTATTAGGTTGGAGGCCATCGCTTCTAGGTTGGAGGCCATTCCTATTAGATTTGTCCTTTAGGTGCTCTTTGGCAAGGCTTAGACCCTCCATGTGTTTTTCGGAGGTCGGAGGTCGGTGGACCTGGCGAAGGAAACCATGTTTCGCCCTAGCACGCACACCATCCCCGGGGCAACGCCAGGTTTCGACCTAGCACACCACTGTATATATAGTTTAAATAGGGTGGTCTATAGGCACGGCAAGGACCGAGGCGGGTGCTGATGTGTGTCACTGTGTGTGTGTGTGTGTTTGCTTCTTGATAAGGCCGTTGGATCCTTAATAGGAATAGGCAGCTAGAAGCGCTCGGGCTGGTGGCTTATACTCAAACGGAATCATAAAAACCTGGGTCGGTCGGTCTATGTCGGGTGTGTTTTTTACCCGAACACTCTCCACCTCCGGTCGTTGCAGCTCGTCGCGCCGGGCAGCGACCGTCGCGCAGCTGAAAAGGAGCGCGAGCGCGGGGCTCTCCACGGAGCGCTGAAATGGAGCGCTGAAGCGAGTGCTGTGTGCTGTACCCAGACGGTTCATGCATGCCATACATGCCGATCAGGCCAGGGGTGGTGCCAGGGGTGGTGTATAGGCATATAAGGCAGTCCCATGGAGCGTCTTGGGTATGCTGTGTGTAGCGACGAGGGTCGGTTTTGGGTGGCTGCATGTGGCTGCTAGGAGTTCTCGTTGGTGGATTGGAACCAGCACCCGGCTCTACAGCTGGCCGCCATGGACGACGGCTGTGGCATGTGGGTGACCTGTTGAGCCAGAGTGCTGGTAACGATGCAGCACCTGGTAGTTCCACAAAGGGCGGCAAATTATTGATATACCCCGCCGTTGATGGTCCAGTTGGTACCACCACCAGTGAGAATCTTTAAGAAGCCTTTAGTACCAAAAAAACATTGTTTTACTACTCAAGGGTTTGACACCGAAACCCTGCAAAACGCAGCTAAACACCGTTTTGAACATGGTTTGACGATGTTTGAATGCTGTCAGCTTGAGGCTGGGGTTCTTTGGAGGGTAGGCCCGTGCCAAGCCCATGAGGCCTGAGGCCTGCTCCCGCTCGGTCCGAACCCAGTGCATCCCAGGCAGTTCCCACTTTCTTTTTTAGGAACCAGGGGCCGGTCGAACTGGTTTTAGTGTGTTTTAGTCGAATTGGAACCACTGGAACTCCCAGCGAGCTCTCGTGGGTTGCCTGCCTGGATGCCCTGCGCTAGAGGAGAAGGTGGTTGGAGTGGGTGGTATGGGGGTCTAACTACCGAACCTGAGGATGTGGGCCAGCCGACTTACATGGATCCTTTGGATTGGGTGTCTGGAACATCAGCCCCACATGAAACCTTTCTGGGTGGTGACCGGGATGGATTCCAAGGGACCGCTAGGACCAGCAAGGGCAAGGGAGGGATTCGGACGTGGGGACACCTTCGGGGACCACCTGCAGCATTTGTGCTTTTCACCCAGCCACGCCGTTAACGAGATCACTGAGGCCGAGAAGAAGGGGGGGTTGAAGAGACAGGGTCTTCGCCGATGGATGGTGTGGGAGGAGGTCACGAAAGGTAGCGGTTACGCTACCTGAGTTTTCCTTTTGCTTTAGCAAAAATGTATTAACCCAGAGCTGCAGCCTATCTCACGGAGAAATGGTCCCCGACATCTTCGTTTGCTGGCCGGGGGGGGAAGGGCCCCCCCCTCCCCCTTCAACTCCACCCTAGCGCGCCTCGGGGTCAACGGTTCGAAAACACTGTAAATACCAGTGTTTTCAGATCTTCCAGTCCTCAGCAGTGACCAAAAATCATGGAATTTACAGTGTTTTTTGTGGCTGTCCGGCAACAAACACCGCAAAAACCGATGGTTTTTGATGCGTCTCGGTTAGAAAAATGACCGAAACAAAAACCAAAAACCAGGACATATTTTGTCGGAAAGGGTTTTTGAGGCTTTTGGGGGCTTCAAAATTGCACAACACTATTGTATTCACAGGGTTTTGTGCACCTTCCCGGCAGAAAACGCCGGTATTTACGCATGATTCCCTGCTACCTTTCGTTCACCCCCCTCCTCTCTCAAGTCACCCAAATCTTCACCCACTTTCAGACTCGCCATATTGTGTGAAATGGTCAGGTCATCGCGAACAATCAGCCAAGAGAGGTGGAACGTGACCAGGTTAGGACCTAATTGGGTAATGTTGGATCCTGATTAGTAAAGGGGGTCCCCCCCCCCCTCAAACAAACAGGGGGACTTCTATAATAAACTATCACCAAAACAAATCTGGATTCCTGGTGAGGGATCTTTTGTAATTGATTGTAGTATTCATTTTCCTTTCATAGATTGTATTCAGCTTCCTTTCTCAGGTGCTTTGTAATTGTTCTCAGCAATCCTTTTGCTTTGCAGCCTCAGATCTTCAGCTCAAGAGAAGCCCCAAGCTTTCATTGGCCTCAGGAGCTAAGTAAAGGGAGATTCCATGTGCATTTTTTCCAGTGGAAAAAAACTTTTCACAATAGAGGTCCCAAAACAAATTTATTATTGAGGATCAGGTGCCTTCCTGGTCTACTACC